ATCGGCCAAACCTGCCGCGTCAGCAGGTAAATAAACTGGCCCGGCCCGCTAGAGTGCTTACCCTGGCGAGCCGCATGCCAAACGTTGCCGACCCCTGGAATACAGGAATGCTATTAGCTTGTTTTAGGACTAGAGCTAAAATACTAAATTCATCTCACACCTTAAAGTGTATGAAATGTAAAAAGACATGCTTGAGATCTTGAACAGTTAGATATTGCTGAAGCTTGTATTATGTTGTTGATGAGAAATAATGCAATAGTACACCTTTAATCCCACAATAATTATTTTCTTAGCTTGGTTTGCACTGGAAGCTGAGTAAAAGGAAATGTGAAACTAGCAATATGATGGAATATGTAAGTATTCTTTTTCTGTTACATTTTTAGTATCTACCACTACAGTGTGATTTAATAGTTCAAATGTCACTAACTACCAGACTCTTTACCCTTCAGTCTCCTCATGACTAATTCGTTCTCAGCTGATGTACACACAACCTTTGGAAATTCACCATGTGTGTCACTCACTACAGAAACTCTTGGCTAGTAGAATGAAACAATCCTATTTTGATACATGAAGATGGCAACATAACAGTCCAGCTGCTGCATGTAGTAAAACTTAGACATTATCATCTGAAAACAGGGTTTCTCCTTCATAACATTGCCTGTTCAGAGCCCTACTGTAGGAGATTTGTGTTGAATAATAGTTGACAGTTAGAGTCCCCAGGAACCTTATCTGTTATAGTGACGTTACAGATTCCCTCACCCCTTCTTAGTTCTTACCCACATCCTCAGTTCCTCTCCACCTGTTGAATACTCACTGAACAAACCTCTCCATTTCTCCTTTATTAAAGTAGCTGTAAATAATTCACAAGTAGCTATTATAGCATAGACTTTAAAGTGTTTAATTTTTGTAGTTTTTTGGCTACTTCAGCAAATTTTTGTTGGTTTGCGTTTGCCTAGAGCTTTGACCAAGATAGTGGATCCATCTAAGAAAGCAGAGTTCAAGATGTTCATCTTGTTTGACTATGTTTTCCTCTTCAGATGGGCATAAAAATTACCTTTTATACTTCAGGGAAGGTCACTTAGCCAAAAACATTGGTGTATACTATAGGTCTAGTCTTAGCAAGGACACAAAACAATGAACAAAGCATAAGTTACAGTACCCTTGTAAATATGTAAAAGGTGTAGCTAGTAGAAAAGAGATAGAAGGATAGTAAGCAATGTGTGATAACTTGCAGCTGTAGTGGAGTGGCCTAGCATGTAGTGGAGTGCACAAACAGCTCATGATTTAGTTAGGGATTGGCTACAAAAATGAGTAGACCAATCATAGTGTGTGATATGATGTAGTAAGTGTAAGTATGTGTATAAACTGGTTCGTGATTATGTATTTCGGATGTGTGGTATACCCTGTACCAACCCCTACACTCGAGCTTGGTCAACTCAAGTACACCTCTACCTCGATATAATGCTGTCCTCGGGAGCCAAAAAGTCTTACCGCGTTATAGGTGAAACCACGTTATATTGAACTTGCTTTGATCCACCGGAGTGCGCAGCCCCGCCCCCTCGGAGCACTGCTTTACCGCGTTATATCTGAATTCGTGTTCTATCGGGTCACTTTATATCGAGGTAGCAGTGTATAGTTTGATTGTATGCCAATAAAGGAACCTCAGGGATGAGCCTAGAGTTGAACTGGTTTCTTGGATTCCAGAAGACTGAATAAAGTGCTCTCCCACAACTGAACGAGGTGTTCTGGGATAAGCCAAGTGGAAAAAGTCGTGGAGGGAATCCCAGCACCCACAAGGTACTTTCCAATGGGACCTAGGACAGAAGGACTCTTCTCAGTACCTGATTTTTTTTTTTTTTTTTAAGCTTATGTATCCGGGAGGTTATTTTCCCTTAAAATATTGATAACATGTCTGGGTGGTATAGGTTCTGCACATGTCAAGTCCAGTAGCAAGCACATGGCAATAAATATGTATACGGTTGCATTGACATTATTCTAAAGAACTAATCAGTTTGGTTAATATGTTGTGTTTTTTCTTCAACAGGTAATACTAATAGAATTCTTACCAAAATATCCCATATTTCGACCTGACTGAGGACCAGTATTCAGTCTTTCATGTTACCTGCCATTTCCTACTCTTAGTGCCTTGTAGCTGATTTTGGAAAGAAGATGGTCTACTTTGCTGTGACTTTAAAAATGTTATTTGGTAGAATATCTTCCTTGCTATGTTATTTTCTTTTGTTTAAGAAGAAAACAATTTGCACATTTTTTTATGTTAAATGAGGCTTCTATGTTGCACTCTGAATTTTTAACATTAACAATAATAGATATAGTTGCCACTAAGGATCTAACATCAGTGCTGCTTAAAACTTGTTTTGAGCATGCTGCCTTATTAATTTCCATACTTACTGTTTCCACATGTACATCCTAACTCTGTATCATATTGTATTTCATTCTAAAATCACATTTCTATAAATCCTCAATAGAAACATCCAAGTAAGCTTCCAGTAGTTAGCAATGATTTTACTATAACTTGCTTGCATAGGACTTGCAATTAACAGCACTGGTTTTGTCCCGCACTTTGCAAAATCATCACTTACATTAGAGGGTTAATTATTTTATCCCCTGTGGATTTGTAAATAGTGCCTCGTTGCATAATGTAAAGTGTGGTATGTCAAGGTTTACAGAATGTAATATAGCTCTGATTGTATTGCCAACAGTTCTACATAGATTTATTAATGACATTTATTAGCATCCTGATTGTATGGACCCATTCATATGCCATTTTTATGGTAAAGCCATAATGAGTTTGTACATACTATCAGGTGTAGGGCTCAGATGCACTTTGTTAGTAAATGGATGAAAAATGCATAGCATTTCTGTGTTTCTTCAGAGATTTTTCAGGTGTCTTGGTTAGTACCTGAAATAAGGAATCTTAAGTATTCTCATCTTTTGGACAAGTTGTATTTGTGGAGTAGACTGCAACTAATATATTATCAGACTATCCTAAAAGCCTATTTTAAAGACACAAATATATGGAAGTCAGGAAAAAATGTGTAAAAAAAAAAAAAAAAGCAAAGAAGCAAATTTAAAGTAATTGGACTGAATTGTTATAACTAAAGCCAACTACTTGGGACAGGTAAATCAATACAGAAGAAACATTAAACTTATTATTTTTATAGCACAGTGGTACCTGATATTTTTTATATATTAAGCAGTTAACTAAAACTGCATCCTTTCCAGAATGAAAAAGGAGCAGCATACATATTGTCAAACAGAATAACAGAGAACCACAAAACAGTTGTTTGATGTGAGCCATGATGAGTTGATATTTGCCTCAAGGAGCTTTATCGTAACTTAGTGTCCAGGCATTGCTTTACAGTTATTTGGATTCTTTGTGATGCTATTTGGTGCCTACGTTTTCCAGTTCCAGATTGATTTTAGACTTTCCTCTGAAATATTAATCCATAGTGAAAAGGAATGGTACAAACCCTGGTTGGAATTGAAGAAAGCATTTAAACCATTGAATTTAAATAGCTGCAGTTGACATGACTTCTAGCAGACTGTCATGACAGTGGTGAGGGACAGAGAGCCAGTTACAGGCATGTAGTCTTGTTGAGTCAAATTCTTCATCCTTTTTGTTGCTCAGCTGAGGAACAAGAAACTCCTGTACTTGTGATTTAATTTCCAACCACAGCTGCCAAGAGTGATGCTTCAAGCTGAGAAATTTGAATGCTGAAATGGATTGTCAGCTTAGTAGACAGGGTTCAGTTCACGTTAGTAGATCAGTGTCAGCTAACTGCATTTTAAAACACTAGAATGTAAGTACTTTAAAAAAAATCTACAATAATGTCTGACTATAAACTTAGCTGAAACTTTTTTATTACAGAACTACAAAAAGCATAGACCCATTTCAACATAATATGGCACTAAGGGTGGGAAGCAGAGGGAATGCTTAAAGACTCGGAGAAAATAGAGTGCAAAACAGAATTGGAATAGCATGCCTAATTTTATATTCACTTCTGTTAAAACAGGATTCTGGGCAGTAAGTGTTGCTAATAAAAGAATAATTGTAAGCATTTTTAATACCTTAAAATCTTAAGTAACGGAAGCTTCTTACTGTTATGCTAGAGGTTGTTAATAATTATTCCCTCTCATTTTTGTTAACCAACAGCCCAGAAACCACACCACGCTCTTTATTTCCTTCCCTCATTTGAGTGGCTATATTTTCAGAATGTTCCTCTGCAGCTGAGGGGACAAGAAAGCCAATGAGAGTTTGATGTCATGAGTAGTAGTGAATATTGAATACTCTTTAGTCTCATAGCTATTAGCAGTCCTTCCCCTTAGACGGAAGTCTGTGTCTGACCTTAGGATATGCAGGTCAGAATTGTTCCATCTGATTTATAACACATTTTTGTGAAACACTGCCAGGCTGAGAGAAAATACCATCAGCTCTCCCCAGTTAGACAGTATGTTCAATGGGTTATTAATTTAGAAGACTTGCACTTGTATCTGTATGAAAATGACACATTTAAGAACATAAATTCTATAGGTTTTTTTTAAATGTCAGATTACAAATCGTTTAGTCTTCACCCCCATTAAAATTTAGTTCAAAAACGGGCACCTAAATTTTGCCCAGCTATGAGGCAATACTAGCAAATGGCCTGGAGCATGAGAGCCAAGACAGCTGATTACAGCAAACTTCATCTGAATAAAGAGGTAATTTTGGATTGTGTTACAAATGCCAACATTCAAATGACATAGCTCATTTTTCTCATTTAAAGATTAAAGCAACACCTGTGGCTGCCTTCGACTGTGGGCTGCATTCTGCCTACAGGTTCTATTTTGACTACCATTTGCTTTAATACATGAATATTCATCTGATAGTTTTCAGTCTTATAAAATCTATATTACCTTAAAAGCTATAAGTAAATATGAATTTGTAAAAACCTATCCATGGTGAGTAATTGTTAATCAGAGAGGGTCCATAGTGATACAACAAAGAGTAGCGGTAACAAAGTTTAATGCAAATGGAAAGGAAAGTGCCTTGACTTGTTCAAATGAAAGAGAAAATGCTGTGCAGAGGGGGAGAAAAGGGAACCAGTTTAAGTGAATATCTGTAAACGTAATTTGCCACAAATTTCCTGAAAAGCAAGTCTGGAAACATTGTTTAATTTAAGTTTTGTCAGAATACTTTGATCGTTGTTTTCTTTTCCAGACTTCTGTATTAGGAAATGTCACAGTATTATAGAATATTGGCAGAGAAGGAAAACTCATCTACTGGCTTTAAAATGACTTTTTTGAGAATAGTTTCATACTGGCCTAAAGAAATGTAAATGTATATGAACATGTGTAGAAAGTTTAGATTTGATTATGTATGAGACTAGAAACAAAATACATTTTTGCTAAATTTAGTGTAGTCTTGATAAAGTTCATACGCTCATCTTGATAAGTACAGAAATCTGTATGCAAAAACATGAATATGCGTGTATTAGTGTCTCCTGACGTCAGTTTACTACATTTATCTATAAACATTAGCGTTTGAGCAATAAAAATGTCAAACAGTTAATATTCAATGTAAATAGTTCTGACCATTTTAGTAAACAATGTTGTCTGATATTCCTGTTCCAATCTTTGTTTTTGTTGTTTTTATGAAAGTGTAACATTAGTTGTAACTCATCAGAAATCTGTTTTTGTTTAAGTTGTATGAAAGGATTTTTAATTGAGTTCTTAACATTTTTATTCTGTTTACAAGTAAATAGCCACTTTTTTTAATAGGACCTCACACCTTGAAGTTTTTTGAATAAAATCCTAAATAAGCTTTGTCTCTACGATTTACTGCATTGACCTGTGCCATTAAAGAAGCTGGAAGTCAAACTTGGTTAATCTGAATCACTTTTCAAAACGTTTTTATTTTAATTATATCCAGAGATGAAAACAAATAATGTGAAGTTTGGGTAGAAATGGAAAACACCCTTTTGCGCCTCTTCTGTTGTCACATATACAAGTCTGTCTCATCTTACGCTGGGGTTACGTTCCATAGTCAGCACCTAAAGTGAAAATCGCGTATAGTCAAAATTACATTGAGTGTAATGGCAGGTGGAATCGCCCACACTACAGAAACAGTATTGAAATTGTTATTTTTCTCTTTTTTTGTTTTTGTTTTTGCCGACCGCGTAAAGCTGAAATCGCACATGTTAAATGCACCTAAGATGCGACAGACCTGTATGTCAATTTTTGAGTCTTTATTACAAAAAAGACTGTTGTCTATCTGACCCAGCCAGATAGTCCTCTACATCAGGGCCTCCACCACGTTTACCTGCTCAAGATACCAGGAGTCAGCAATTTATGAAGGCTCTGCTGGACTGAGGGTAGTGGAGGCCTTGGAATCATTCTGGGCCGTGCTCCTACTTCTCCATAGAATCTGTCCAATTGGCTGATACTGACTTTTTTCAAGAACTGTTTTTCACTTGCCACTGTGGAGATAGCGCTCTGGGCAATAGGAACCACAGTTTTGGAGCTAGCCTGTGCCATCTTCAAATCCAAGGCATCCGCAATGCCTGCTGGATTGGAGCTCAATGGTGAGGACTTCTCAGAACTGAGAAAAGCAAGTTCTTTTCATTCTGCTGTAGTTCCACCTCAAGGGGAGCCTGACTGGGGCACAAGAACATGTGCCTGTTGGACAAAAACACTTGAATAGAAGACTGTATATGCAGCACAACGCTGTAAAGCACCATTTCCCATCCTATAGTTGTTGATTACTTACTTTTCTTATGAGTGTGAGATTTTATACATAAGTCCTTTGGCATTCTATGTAGTGGGGAATGCATGGGTCCCTGTAACTAGCATATGTAAGTATATTGCTCAAAGATAGAGCACCGTTTTCTAGAGCTCTGCATTTTCTCAGTACATTAGGCAAATGAAAAAGCATTCCAACGTGTGCACTTCACTGACCAGTTTTATTTCATTGCTACAACCCAATACTCAAATCTCTCTAAAACAGAACACTTCTGGGTGTTGGGCCAAATCTCTATTAGCCAATTTTATTCTGACTTGCATTTTGTGTTTTTAATAGCAAATGGGTCTAGTCACTTGTATTACATGTTGTACCCCCTTGTTTTACAAACTATATGTACAGAGCTACTGAAAATGCAGCTGCCTCTGGAGTGGACAGTAGCGCCTAGAAGGACAATCGATCACCACTATGTTGCACCTTTGAAGAAGGAAGGGGGGGAAATTGGCATGAGTCTATATATGCTTCCATTTCCACCCATGGGAGAAGGGTGATTTTTGTGGTTAAAGCAGTAGATGTGACTAGAGAGATCTGGAATTTTGTCTTTGCTCTGTTACAGACTTCCTCTGAGTCTGGGTAAATCAATCTGTCTGTGCTTCCATTCCCATCTGTAAAATGAGGATATTTCCTTACATTACAGGGATGTAGTGAAGCTTACAGTGCAATTTAAGTGTAATTGTAGCGAGGATAAATTTACCTACACTAGCTTTAATCTAGTGAATAACGAAGACATATCAGCACAGACTAGCAACCAAGTATAAGCCCACTGAGGACCCTGGGTATGTACTCAGGTTGCTAGCTCATGCCGATGTTTGTGCCACTGCATCTTCACTGCTATTGTTACTTGTACTAGCTAGAAGAAAGCTAGCTTGGATATATCTATCCACACTACAATTACGCTAAATTGCAGTGTAAACTTGCTGTAAATCTGTTACTGTGTATATAGTGCTTAGATACTAAAGGGACAAGTGCTGTAAAAAATTGAATGAATGGATAAATCCTCTAATTATATTCTTAAGAGAAAATGGTCAAAACTGCCCACTCATGATAAATTACATTAGGAAAAGTCCAAAGAGAGGAGGAGGAGTGGCAACAGTGAAGTAAGCGTACCACCAGCAACTGTGATGACATCCATGTTGTACAGATACAATTTTTAGCATCCAATATGCTATTATGAACACTTGAAGAAAAAGGATTTGAATTGTTTAATTATAAAATAACCCAAGACTTGTCAGATTGCTGTCAAAGATATTATGACACTTTTGAAAATGGAGGGAAATTGCACTAGGAACTATTCTAACATCAGTCCTTTAATTATAGTTTTCTATTTCTCTGATGCTGCATAGGAGCAGGTTTTGAACATATAACTGCCTGTTAGTGAAATCAGCCAATAGACAAACTATTTAATCTTGTTTTGAATACCTTGTATATTAAATATGCCATGTAAACCTCGCTTCAGTCATCATTGGAAAGTCCAAAAGGAGTTTAAAAATAGAGTAAATTTAAAAGAAAATCAAAGAAAAATATGATTCATTTAAAGGCACTGATACACATAAAATATAGTCTCAGACTTCCACCAGTCCAAGTAAACCACAATTTTATGCAAGTCTTAAGGGACGTAAAATTGAGGGGACAATACAATAGCCTTCTGTTAGTTGGGGAGACAGAAAGGCATTTCTTGTGAAGGGGAGTTTTATAAAACAGGTTTACTTCTAACATTCTATTGATAATGTTGCTATTACCAGCTATGAGGTAATGTCTCCCGTTGGTTGAAGGCCTGAGCTGTGTTCCACCATAAAATGGAAATAATGACTGTTGCATATGAATTGATTGGCAGTTTTTGTTTTAAAGAATTTTTTAAAACTTTGGGTGAATTTAGCTCTGGAGAATGAAATTGTTGCCATCTGAACACCACTAAATGGCCTGTGTGAAATTAGCTGGTCATCAGTCCCACTTTCCATGAACTATGATTATGTTGTTAAAACCACCATCATGTACATCTTTATTAGTCTTAGCTGAAGGGATGTCTAGAATATGATTCAAGGAGTGTGGGGGAGGAAGCATAGGGGTTACAATGTTAGCATATTTTAATTAACAGAGTCTAAAACTAATGTAGACTGGACAAGTTGTCCTTAATTTAGCACAAGCTAGCTGGTAAGGTTAGGAGGGAGCCGGCCTAGGGCATTCACCTAACATGTCCAAATACAACTTGCCCTGGCTACACTTGAGTTTTAAAATGGGTCAGTTAAAACATTTGAGCTAAAATGTTTTTAAAATGTAACTTTTATTCCTGTCTAAACAAACCTGTGGAGGGACTTCCTCCAAATCAGGGATACGGCACGTTGGGGGAGGTGAAGAAACTTGCACTAACACTGTTGAGTGGGGAAACTGAGCTCAGTTTCTGGCAATAACACATCCAGGACTCTTCACAAACGCTAACATAATTTCTAGTTTTTTAAAAGAACCTCACTCCTCACTCCCCCATGCACAGACTTGTTTAGTCTTGTTATTAAAATAATTGCTGTTTACTGAATATTGTGCCAGTCCTTCTCAGGCTCTGAAGCTATAGACAGGATTCTGAATCTGGAAACTTATTGGACCCTTCTGCACTTTGGAGTAGGATTTTGTTTTTCTTGTGTTTCTTGTGTACATGTATGATAGGAGACCTAGTCATGGACCAATGGCCCAGGAGCTACTGCAATACAAATAATGTATCAATAGGAAAAAGTCACGTGATATATTAGCAACCTTCTACAGTGATAGTTATTTTACATCAAGGCCTCGTCTACATACAGTTTTTGTGCTGGTTTAACTATTTCTGTTAGGAGTGTGATTTCCTATTGAAATAGTTAAATCAATACAACCCCTAAGCCTGATCTTAAAAATTGTACTGGCACAGCTATGTCAGTCAGAGGTCTAATTTTTTTTTAACTGTCATAACTATACCAGTAAAAGCTATTGTGTAGACACAGTTATACTGGTATAACTGTGCTT